TTATTAAGTTCTGTCTTAATTAATATAAGTTAATTATTTACACTCCATCCACTAAAATAGTTAACAAAAGACAAACGGTTCTTTAGCAACCAGACAGTTTTTTGGCCAGTTGTCGGGGCTGGTTAATTAGATAATGATTCACATGATGTTCATGATCAGGAGTTTGCTGTATAACATGATGAGAGCCAGGGCACAAAACATCGATATATATTATATCATAGAGACAGTATTAGAATTACATTGTTTAGGACTTTTATGTTAGTCTTTTTTAGACAAAATGAAAACAATTTTGGGCAAAGTCTGCACTTAACACATCAGCCTTTTTCTTTTGTTTTATTAAAAGGGTGAAACAATCCTGACCAACATGCTTTTAATTCTCTCTCTACTCCCACTCAGTAGCTGCGTTTTTGCCCTCTGGTACTCCCATCCCCCTTCCCTCTCTCATGGGCGCTCACTCAGGCAACAAGAGTGAGGGAAAGCAAACACTACACACAAACACACAGGGCGCTGTGTGAGACATTTCACCTTGGTACCGAGGTCAACATGAAGAGGAGAGAACGCAGGAGAGGAGTGACAGTGAGGTTTCAGTAAGAGCACATGATGAATCAGCAATACTGAGAAACTCTATGACGAGGGGAAATATAAATATGATAGAGGATTATAGGGGCTCCCACCTACACACAGCAGCCTTTTGAACATATCAAAGTTGAATAGTTTCACAACTTGCCATTTCAAAACTGCTTAGTCAGTACATTTTGGAAGTAGTTCACCAGTTGAGTCTCCACCTCCACCAAACTACCTGTTGTAAAATACTAATTGGGAGGTGGTAAAGAGCCGTACAATAATCTGCCTCATATACTGCCTACTTAATTAGCATATTGCCCAGTGGATTCATTCAGCTGAGCAGTGGCACCCGACAGTCATTCATACAAACCAGTTCAAAGCTAAATGTTACTAGTTCCACTCAGTTCTGAATAAGCTGAGGATTTTAAACACTTGTTCTTTACACAACATACCTTGTTGAACATTTTTTGCACAGCATGAAACTTGGGCCTGCTTGATGCCATTTGCTGATCTGATCAACAAATATGCTGCAACATTTAACAAGTGAACTCGGGCAACAAAAATGCAGTTGGGCGGTGACTGGGTAAAAGAAATATACATATAAACACACAGATACATACATACATATATATTTGATTATGATTTAAAGGTTACATATGATTTATTCTGGCTATTTTGTGAGGAAGAAGGTGTGCAGATGAAAGACAAGCAGGGGGCCAAGCACCTCGGCTCCACAAGCATATAAAACACTGACAGGGGAATACAAACCTAGCGGAGGAAAAGCACAGCCCATTTTAGACAGCATAATACTGAACGTGCTGGAAGTCTGAACTCCAAGGCAGCTGTTTAACAGTTTGTGTAGTTACTCAACTTTGTCTGAATCTCACATTTCCATGTGAGACTGGGGGGGGGGGGGGGGGGGGTTTGGTTGTGGTGGGGGTGTAATGGGGGGGGGAAAG